TCTTTGAAATTATAGGCAGAGGTAGATGGTTGAAAATAAAGTAGAATTTTGAGAAATGATACATAAGAAATATGTGTGGAGAAAAGGAAATGAAGAATGGAGGCACTGAAAACCCAATTGAAACTGAAGGCCACATATTTGTAGTGGCAATAATCTATGCTTTTTAAGTTCTATCTCAATAAACTGTCAAAAAAAAAGCAGTAACTTTGAATCAATTTCCAAAAAATTATAGTAACCATTAATAGTACTTACATAGTACTTTATATGTACCAGGCATTTTTTAAAAATTACTTTTTACATATTAAAATCAGAGAGAGGTAGTGATTCCTATAAACAGAAATAATTCTCATAGAAGTATGTTTGTATAGTTTTATATTGCACATAAAATACACCAAAGACAAAAGAAACTGTCCTCATACAGTAATGGAAAGCCACAAAAAGAAAATGAGCAGTGTTGGAAAATCCAAAGCAAAGAGCCAAGGAAAAAGTAAAACCCAGAGAGTCAACATGTTAAAAATGAGAAAAAGGTAAAAGTGGATGAAAATACATACACAACCAGTAAACACCAGTAAAAGAGAAAAATAAAATAGAAGTAAAGTATGTCTGTGTCTCTGAAAACCCTTTTGTTTTTTTTGTTGGGACCAAAGAATTTCCTAATTTTATCAAAGAGCACAAATAAAATACTGAATAGTGGGTAGTATTGAATATGCTTGCTTACTAAGAGTAGGCTAGGATCAAATACTTAGCAGGGTAAGAACTGAATTAAAGAGAAAACCATTTTAAAAATAAATTATCTAAAGTTACTTTCAGAAGTTCCACAAAATCCAGAGATTCATGGTCTTGGTTATACGTTAAACCCAAGATGCTTATAGTTATGCTGAATGCATCAAACCTGTCAAAACCAAATGAACAGCAAATCACGTCAAAATAAATAGACCATTTAAAGCCTGTAGAAAGACAGCAATTTAGACTATCAAAATTACAAACTGACTGGGTATCCAACACTTGTAATTTTAAGGCATTTAAAAAATATATATATATTATTGATTTTTTTACAGAGAGGAAGGGAGAGGGATAGAGAGTTAGAAATATCGATGAGAGAGAAACATCGATCAGCTGCCTCCTGCACACCCCCTAATGGGGATGTGTCCGCAACCAAGGTACATGCCCTTGACCGGAATCGAACCTGGGACCCTTGAGTCCGCAGGCCGATGCTCTATCCACTGAGCCAAACTGGTCAGGGCTTAAGGTATTTTTTAAAGCTATATAAGAAAATTATTAAAATGGAAAAACATTCAATGTGGAGACAAGGAAGATGTTCTTCAAGAAGAGTAAGTTATTAATAAGTTTCATCCACCAATTTTCACTCTTATCAGACAGAATTATCAATGTGAAATATGATGATGATATAAGTCAGTGATTTATTCCTGGATCAGTTATGTAAAAATGTGCTGGCTAAGGTCACCCTTGGCACTAATAATAATGTTAGTGAAGAAATTAATGCAATACTCAATGTGCCCTTCAAGCAGGAGTGTAATATAAATCTAATGTATCTTTTATTTTTAAAGGCACATATATAATCCTTATTTTAGATCTGGTGACTAAGAATATAGAGATTTCCATCTCACTCCCTAAAATGGGGTGAAGTACTTCTAATATAAAGAACAAAGAAAACCAATGTCACCCCAACAAATTTAAAAATAAAAAAAATAAAAAAACAAAGAAAAAATAATGTACCTTTTGGCTTAACAGGAGATAAATTTCAGGCAATCATTCTGAAGTACATGAAAAACTATTTCAGTCACGAATGTGGTAGATTTAAAGTAAAAACAGCCCATAAAGCTTATATAAAGAGCATGCTCAATAGCAGTCTACAAAATACCATAAAATGACAGGGAAACACAATATATGTAATATTTATAAAAATATTTTAAAATTATAGTTGGAAGGAACCTAACTAATTAAGAACTCAACTAATAAAGGAAACCCCTTTACAATGGTCTTTGATGCTTGACCATTTTCAGTGACAAAATAGTTGTATCTTTTCAAGGCCAGGAACACTTACTAAAAGTTTAAGACCACTGTAAACTTAGAGGATATAACATGTTATTGGTTTTTATACAACTTTCAATGAAGAATATATTTTTATTCACTCTCACATTTTATTATGCAAACTTTCAGATACAGCAAATTTAAATAATTTTACAAGCTAATGCCTAAACAGCCAGACCTAGATTCTACCAATAACATTCTACTATACTTGTTTTATCATATATCTATCCATCCATCAATCCATCTCGATTTCTGATGTTTTATCTACTCTTTAAATGCCTATTAAAGTGCTATCTAAATGCAGTTTTTGAAGTAAGGTCTGATATAATTAATAGACATGACAAGCACGTGGGGCTCTTGGGCAGGCAATCTTCAGTGTTGCTACAGGACAAAAACCAGTCATAGCGAATGAGATTTATATTCACTTTTATCACGTGTTATACTTAGTTGTCAGCTATAGCAAAGTAGTTAAGCTCCAACCCTGAAGACCAACAGACTTGAGATTGAAACCTGGATATTGAGCATGCTCCTTACTTGCTAACAAAGATACTAGCAGCATATTAACAGGTCAGTATGAGATTTACTTATTTATTTTTCAATGTGAGATTTAAATGAGATGATGTATAAAAATGTTTATTTAGCACAGTGCTGGCTTTTTGTACGAGTTCAACAAAAGTTAGTAATCATCATCATCATCCTATTTACTAGTAGTCCATCCATCATCAACATCATCATCATCATATTTAGTCCATTCAACCTACCACAAAGGGTATAGCTGCATACATATCTATGCTCTTATTTGTGGCCTTTTTTTCCCCCCCATTACTTGTGTCTCGGCAGTCTATTTTTTACTAAGATTAAGACAGAATGAAATGAATGGGTCCAAAGCACAAGCGCTGTCCATTTTCCCAGTGGACTTCCTAAAGGAAATAGATACCCTTTCTCTCACCAAAAGCAGCGCTAAGTACTACCTCAGGATTACATACAAATCACAAACAGGCAAACTACACCTTTGTAATAGATCTGTAGTTGCCACTTTAATCAAGTGGTCGCATTTAGCATCACTGATAGCATGGCAAACTGATACGATGTACCTCCTCTAGATGCAATAGGAAGTGCACAGCATCACCTATTAAATATTGTTGCCAGAGAAAGTTTAACTTTAAGCTAATCAAGCTTTTCTTTAGACCTAACTTCCAGTAACAGAAAATTCAGGGGGATAGAGGAATAAATTAAATGATAGTATGAGGCAACAGACAAGTCTGAATGTGGGAGCATTCTCTAAAACAGTTTGGTCAACTGTCAGGAGAAAAAAGGCATAATCGAGTGGGAGTAGGGAGGAGAGGGGCAATGGGGTGAAATGGAGGACATCTGTAATACTCTCCAAAATAAATTAAAATAAAAGGCATAATCACCAAATGCAATGCATGAATCTTGACTGAATATAGCTATGGGGTAAAGGGGGTTCCCAAAGAGACTTTGGCATAATAAGGAAATTTATATATGTTGATAATTGGGGTTAGTAGGAGAAGGTGTCTATTTTTAGGACATGCAAACTGAAATATTTGCATGTCATGATGTTTGCAACTTGTTCTCAAATGGTAGCACACACAGAGACATACAAAAAGGGAGAAGAGGGGGGAACAATACCAATCCAGGTAGTGGAGTGCTCACTGTATTTTTTCCTTAAGACTGAAATTTTTCATAATCACGTTTTTAAGAAGTGTACTTATCTGAGAGGCACAGTAGCAAATACACCGACACTGGAATTGTATCTGGCCACAAATCTCACCTCTGTTACTCAACTAGCTGTGTGGCCTAAAGCAAAGTTACTTAATATCACTTACGTTTGTCTCATCTATAAAACCCAAGTAACAATACCTAAATTGTTAGGTCGTTCTGAGAATCAAATAAGATCCCATATGCAAAATGCCTCGCAGCGCTGCATGAAATAAATTAATCTGGTTTTCATAATGAATGAATGCAATCATCCTAAATTACAAGACTATAGGAAAGCATTCATTATTTTCACATTCCGTAAGAAACTACACTAGGTAACACTAACTATCCATTGGCAGCTGATGTGAAGTAATGGGGGAGATGAAGATTTAAAAAATATGTGCGTTTAATCCAATCATTCCAACGGAAACCGTCAACAGCCGTAGGAAAACCATAAAAATCCCTACCTACGCAAACTATTTGTCATCAAACTGTCGAAGTTTGCTTTTGGTATCAGCCTGGTCAGAAAATAAGTGGAATTTAAGAGATTATTTGTTTTCCCCCTAACCGCAACAGATCTATTTATCTTACCTCTATGTTGAAAAAAAAACTTTAAATTTTTGCCTTCATTTTTATAAGTTCCAATAAGGGACACAATGATTGGGCTGTGGTCTGGTTAAGATACCAATAACTCAGAAAGACGTAATTGCCTCTCTTCTCAGGGACTTATCATTTCCCTCCAGGTAACCCCCCGTTCTCGTTAGGCCAGCAGAAAATGATCAGCTGCCGAGCGAGCCTCAGGTAGAGAAGAAAAAGAGGTGATTGCATTTTTTCATTTCAAGACGGGCCATTCCTTCCCTCTCCAGCTCTAGAGAAGACGCAGCAGGGGAGTTAGAGGGAAAAGGCCGTCAGGTGTGGGGCTCCCCGGCTCCCCCAGGTGAGAGGTCACACCCCAGCCTCCTCCGGGGTTAGGGTGCCAGGCAATGGGCGTGCAGCGCCCGGGAAGATCGGCCCGTCTCCTCCCCGAAGGATTAAATGCCATTGGGTGGGGGGGACCCTGTGGGGTGTCTCCCGCGCAGATGGGGGTGACCAGACCCAGGCTTTCCTTTCCGTCCAGCGCCCAGAAGGGGGGCGCGCAGTTGTCAGCCCCTGAGCAGGAGCCCTCGAGGGCGCAGGCGACGAGCGGCGGCGGCTGGCCGAGGTTCGCCCTCGCCTCCCCTCCCCATTACCTGCGGGCGGCGGTGCGGGGCCCCGAGGCCTGGTGCTCCTCCTCCCCGCCAGC